GAAAGTGTTTACTTGGCTTACTTTTTTTCTGAGTCAGTTTACTGACTGCATGGGGAGAGAAGACTTCCAAAAAAAGATTGTATGTGACTATAGGAGACTTGATACAAAAACGATATTGACCGGAGTTTACCTTTTTACTCACATTCGTTCACCTTACCAAATTCTGTAACTACAGTGAGATGTTTTTTAAAGCGGGGGAGTCGTCACCTGCGCATGCGTCAGATGGCCATAGCGTGTCATTGTTTACAAACAAACGTCTACCAATAAGCCTTTGCGTTTTTAGCGTGTGTTGTTATCGTCACTTGGGACTCAATTCCCAGGCGTACGCAGGTGACGATCCTCCCGATGATCCAATGTATCATTTTCTGTAGATTCAATGACGCGCCAGTGAATTAGCATAATTGGTTACGTCACTACAAATCTCTCTGCGTCAGTGGCGCATCACATGAACACGTGCTACCATGTAAGACGATTCGTAGCAGCTCGGTTATTGCACCACATGGTCCTGATGAACTATTAGCGTGGCTGGTTGCTGAAGTCAACACATGGACGTCTATGGGGCGTAACAATTATGGTCCGATACAGGGCCTTATTCTTGTTTAAAACAATGGAAATGTTAATGTAATGCAAGCATATATCGTTATATTTATTCATTCGAACTCACAAAATACTATTTGTTTTTGACCGTTGTAATCCTGCAATAAACAAATACAGAGAATAGTTCAAACAAGCCGGTAGGCTGGTTGGCGATCCGCTCCGCTCAAAAACAAGCAACATGTTTTTGGTTGTTTCCATAGTGTGACATAAACGTGAAGCTGACGTCGGTTAGTTTATTACTAGGACGTATTCTTCTGTTACATCATTTATTATTTCCATCCGTTTTGCGATAGTATTTTCTAGAATGAAGGCGTTGGGATTACGTCGATACAGTGTAACAATGTCGGCGCCGATGATTTCCCACCAGTGCGCAACGTAGCCAAAATAAAAATCATGGTCAATTAAACACTGTTAATACAGAACCACAGTCAGCTGGCATGGTGTCGTTGGGTGTATATGATAGAGGGAAGTTGTGCAACCAAATGTTCCGAGTTCGCAGTTTTTCGCCGATAATAAAATAAATAACGCAAAAAAACCTCACGGTTTTTCAGCATTTTTGTAATAAAGACATTATTCTCTATCAATAATACGCCCAAAATAGGAACATTTCTACTAATTCTTGTGTTTTTTCGACGTTTTTCGAAAAACCTGCGATTAGGCTGCGAAAGTAGAACATTCCGGCATCAATTATTGTCACCTGATCTAGATGTAACTCGTTCGGGGAACAAGTGTACTAACAAGTCATACATAAAGTTCGTCGATGAGGGCTTCTTTCGTGTATGTGCATACTAAGGTTCAAACAAAAGCACAAATTACGTTTGCCACAGAGGGCGCTAGTCACAAGAACTGAGTTTGAAGTTTTTTATTGTCTTCACCGGGAATTAACATCTTCCAGAGCCCGGACTGAATAGCCTAGATATCAAGGTTAACCGTTATTTCCCGTTAATAAACAAGAATCAGAAATAGATGGAACAACATAGTATTGATTTTACCCTCCAACATTCCAGTGTTTCCTTTTATTAATCTGATCTATAGAATAGTTCAGTTATCACTTGTGATTATTTCAGTACACAGTTCTAAATTTACAATTCACTTCAGAATAATATATTTTTATTTCTAAAAAACTTACACAATAAAAAACATTCTATTTTTGTTGTAAATAGTGAAGATCAAGAACCATACTGTGAAATGTTTGAAGTAATCAACACTAAATAAAATTAATCTGACAGAGGAATGAATCAAATCAATTTGACCTTCCAAGTCAATCGAGCTGTTGGATTTTTACAATGTTATCAAATTATAGTTCTTGTCTCAAAATAAAATGAACTAATCTGACAGAAGTCCCTCAAAGGTGGAAAGCTAGAAAAGCCATTTGAAGAAGTCATTCCAAAAAGACATTTTTTCGCAAAAATTATGAAAACATTATATAGAAATTAAATTATCATCACAAAATGTACAAATATGAAAAAGGCTTATCGAATGTCCTACATATGACATAAAAAAGCAGCCAGGCTAGCTGTCTCCAATGAGTAGTCAAAAATAACTTTAAAAAAAAAATAATCACTAATATTAGAGAATTGAAAATTATCGTCACAATAATAAAAAAAATCAGAGAGAACCAATCAAAGTATATTTGCAGGGAGTATAAAACCCATATAGCTGAAAAAATGTATAGTTGACAAAAATGACAGCCGACAATGAAGAATTTTTTGAACAGCGGAGCTAAACTCGATTCTTTAATAATTTTGGCAAAAAGTATTTCTAAAAACATTCAACAATAAAAAACATTATGTTTTGTTGCAAATATTGCTTAGATTTCAAAAGAAGATTAGTGAGAAGATTATTAAAACTTGATCTTTATTAAAAACACTGATACATTTCTAAAATAAAAACAACAATGAATAACAAGCATTACATGTATGTAATGTACAGTATTGTTTTTGTTGTAAACATTCTGATTTTGTAAGCAGGATCAGTTAAAAGATAAAAATACTGAAATTATCGTATATAAAAGTCTCCTTTCTGATTAGCCTAAGCACCTGCCAGAAATCAAACTGAATAATTTACAGATGTTGTATGGGAACTATATTGAAATTATAATAATCTGTTCATCTGGCCACTTGGTGGCGCACTATGCTTTCCCATACAGATGAATTGAATCAAAGGGATTTAATTGGTTATATTAAGCTACATTCCTAAAAAGCAATACAAATTGTTTAATGTAATTTTCAGTACTATTGGAATAAAAAATGGAAACTAAAATGAGAAGTATCGGTTAGCCGATTGAATAACATTGGAACATTTTCAGATGACATCATTATTCACTGTACTTGGCAGGTTGCCATAAGTATGTAATTATATATAAAATAAAGGGAATGGGTTCGTTGCAGCTCTAGTTCAAACAATGTCCCTCAAACAATTTCGTCGATTGGGTGATCGGTTTGCTGAGCATCTTCGACAAACTAGACAGAAAAATCGTTATTATCCGGTTTCACTTCATTTTAATTCTAGTGGACATAATATTACAGATATGTCTATTTCTGGTGTATGTGTTGTCAATGGCAACGAAAATCAGCTCAGGCGTGTCGAGGAGGAAACTATATTCCGCCTAGAAACTAAAGAACCCCATGGAATCAACAAACAGTTCATCTCATTTGTTGAGCTCACTACCTAAGGCGTGTTATATGTTTTATTTTGGAATTTTTTGTGATTCTAACTTATAGTACATGCGCGTTCTTACGTTCCTATGTTCTACCTGTACGTTATAACATTTTCTTCTATGCTATCGATAAAGAGCCATTGCTCGAAGCGTCTAGCTATTTTTAATAGTTATTTAGGACTACGATTACCAAATATTATCTTCTATATATCCCTCAGACAAGGTGGTTTCAATTCTTGTAACCAAAGCAAGTCACAGCAATGTCCATAAAAACAGTGGTTCAAATTCTTGTCAAAACAAAACAGTCCCAGGCTCCAATATCAACAGTTACTTCAAAATTGTTAATAACAATAGACATGAATAATGTCTGCTGCCAATGATGGTCAGATGGCCATTAGTGGTAATGCAGCCACTCCACATCTCGAATAACCTTGCTTCTAATACAAGGACCAAATCCAAAATCCACACCCATTCTTCGAAAGAAATACGACTCAGCAAAGTGAAATAAAATATTGGATATAACGATCATATATTCACATAGGGAGAATATGCTGTACACTGAAAAGAAGGAAATACAATATGAACAATTGATGAATGTTTGATACCATAGTTACAGTGAAAACTATCAAGATATTGCCATTGCCATTTCTCTGGATGATGTACTATTAGACAAGCAGCCTCTCGGCCGAGATAGCTCCGCTGTTAGCAATGCACCTTTTACTTAGAGAATTGAAGATATCATCACAAAATGAACGAATCTGAGATCGGTTCACATGAGTATAATATCAAAGCCATCAGACTTGCTGTTCTTAACAAAAAGTCAAAAATGTCACTTTTTACCAAAAATGACAAAAACATTCATCAAAGTTAGAGAATTGAAGATATCAGCACGAAATGAACAAATCTGAGAGAGGTCCACATGCAGTACCTACATATATAATATCAAAGTAATTGAACTTGCAGTTTTCAACAAGAAGTCAAAAATATCACTTTTTACCAAAAATTACAAAAATATTCATCAAAATTAGAGAATTGAATTTATCATCACGAAATGTACAAATCTAAGAGAAGTCTATCCAAGGTACATATACACCAAGTATCAAGGTAATCAGGCATGTAGTTTTCAAGGAAAAGCAACTACGGACAATCATTCATATGAGGAGCTTTGCTCGACAAAGTTGACTGATTTGCTAAAAAACTGATTACCTACTGGCAGTTGACAATATTTTAAGACAAAGTAGGTATTAATCAGTTGTTCAGATTTAAAAACATTCAGAGGAATCTCAATGACAAATTCTTGATGATTTTCACTGTAATGCATTTTCATGTCTTAGATAAAATATTTATCATTAACTTTGGCAAGAGTGAAATATTCAATATATTGCATTGTGTGACCCCACATACTGTTCTATTTCGAGAGAGATATATTTTCCCAAGGTGGTAAAAACATGTTGAAAAAGAAAAAAACTAAAAAAAGGAAAAGTCGAAAAAGTTAAAAAGTTGACGTCGACGATGACGGACAACTACGGACAATCACTCATATGAGACCCCACATACAGTTCTGTTTCGAGAGAAACATATTTTCCCAAGGTGGTAAAAATCCAGAAAGCGTGTAGCATTAGAATCAGTAAGTGTAATCAACATTTGAAAAATGAATGCTATAATTAAAACCATTAAATCTTGAAAATTCAGCAAAAATTAGCCTCTATTGCATAAAAATCCAATTATACAAACCAAATGAATGCTAATCAGACTTGGGAGGCGATTTCAGACTTTCAGTACCAAACACAATTTCTTTTTTGGTGAACATGGCGCTCTCAGCAACATGAAATGTAATATTAGAAACAATAATAATAGATTCTACCAGTGCATAGATACTATAGACTGTGAAATAAGAACAAGCAGAAGAAGATGTTATGTTAGCAAGTTAAGAATTAAGTGAAATACATTCTTCAAACAGTTCAACATTATTGATATCAACGTGTAGACTGCTTGACCATATTAAACTGCTGCCTCTCATATGAATGTGATCATTGATAATTTGTATCGATATTTTGTATCGATAAATCACAACCGGCTGTGTGGTCGCTAACCACCACGAGTACAGTGTCAGAAAAAAATACTCGCAACAGTGAAAAAAGTCAAGAATATGCAAATGTGTGACACAAGTAGAAACAAACTCACCGCCAGGCTCGCAGTACCGATTGTGTCGGTAGAAGAAGTACATACTAACAAAAAAACAGGTTATATTAAAGATAAAAAGTCCTAAAAGCCTTTTTTGATGTTTTTGTTCCTTTAAAAAAAAAAAGTTACAGTTACATCTACCAATTGCATTGCAGAGGCATAATTTTGCAAACTGAAATGCAAATCACCAGTGCCCCCCCTCAAATGGCAACGTGCCATATAAGGGTATTCTGTAAAGAACAAATTAATAGTTAAAAATTTAGTCATATATTATGAGGCTTCACACAATAACTTTAAATTGACATTAAAGTAGCACTTAGAGAACATTCATAGAGCAGTATTGGCGATCAATTACTGTAAAACACATTAATATAGCTATATGCCATTTTAGCAAATTTGACTCCATGCATGAATTAACAAAATCTTAATTTAGCTAAAATGCCATCAATCTCATTGGGATAATATACTTTATTCTAAATTAGTGACATCTTGAATTAGCAAAGTTACAGATTAGCTAAATTAGCTAAAATTTCATGCTAGTTAAAAAGACGAGTTTTACAGTATATGAAATATTAAATGGTCTGAATTTGCATAAATTATGGAAAATACATTATAAACATTCAAATTTCTAGGCTTTTTGGTGCATTTGAATGCAGGCGATTGTTTCACCACAAAATTATTCACAAAATATAGCATCAAAAACAACTACATTTATAATACTTTCAGAATGCAAGTTTTTCCCGGTCTTGAATATGTTTTATAGAATTGCAAATCAAATGAGGTACATCTGTATATAAAACTCAATGTCTCAATGATAGGTTTGATTAAAATCTGTGGTTATTCGGAATTAGAAATTATTATGATAAAATTGTCCACCACTTAGCCATTACCAATAAATAAAAATCAAGGTTTAATATGAATCAAAACTGTCTGTACATTGTAGGAAATTGTAAAAATAACAATCTTATTGAATAGAATCAAATTATATTTTATCAGATCAAAAAATGAATTGTACTAAAATAGACATAAATCGGTGATTAAAAGGTCTGAGAAATGTACAAATGCTGTGCACAAATATTCTTCATTTTCTGATTTCATTTTAACAAAGATGAACAATTAAATTAATCAAGAAATACACACCTCGAGAGTAAAGGCATTCCATAGTTTTTTTCTTGACAAATAGTACTGAAGATTCATAGCAATCATGTAGAGAAGAGACGACATTATAAAAGTGACAAAGAAAATTTCATGAGCCGCTGTAATTAAAAAAAATACAATTAGTATTGATCGTACATTTATTTATTTGTTTCTTCGTTCATTCGTTCGTTCGTTTGTTCATTCATTACAAAAAAAACAAATACTTAAAGGGCGGTGGTTGTCCTGCAGCGCGTGTTCGAATTGAATGTAAATAAACAATTTATTTTACACGCGCTGTATACGTCGCTACGAGTCCCATATCGAACAGGACGCGGCACAACGACTGCCGCTCTTTAAGAATAATGATGCTTGGTTTTTCAACTTTTCAGACTAATGTCACATGTCCAGTTTATGGTGTAGGAGATTTGATGTCATTTGATAGTCTATCCTCGGGGGTGGACCTTCGGGCATTTTCTACCGCCTGGCAACCCTCGCGGTGAAAACAAAGATGGTTGTTGAGAGTCCCCTGAACAGTGTAACAAGATTAGCCCTACGCGTGTAACATATATGAATTTGGTTGTTCAGGATTACTTCAAAGTTGAGTTGTGTTGTTTTCTCGAGTTTTCACCGGCTCCACTGCCGTTCCACAGCAGCGTGCACAAAGCCCATAGAAATACGTGGTACAGTGGTGCGCGTCTTAGCAACGTAGAACGTCTGTGACGTAGCTCCGCCCCCAAGGATTATTCAACACAAAATTACTTTTGTAGACAGTTTATTTTTGGAAATAGCACCCTCTATGGTCAAATCACCAAATTATTTCCTAGAATTAGTGCCCTCTGTGGTTGTATTTGTTATTTCAATTTTATAAAAGTACAACTTTAATTTCTTTCTATAATAAATAAAGAGTAATAACAAAAAAATGTTTTAATTTTAAATGTTGAAAAACGATTCCACATGATGCAATACTCACGTTTGTACTCCCGTGATGCAACCATTGTAAGTCCAAGGAGAGACAGAATTTCTACCAACTGCAAAGTAAATGCTGTTCTACATAATTTTATATACCACAGGACCGGGTGGGGCATTCCAATTTCAGTGAAATAGTTATAGTATATACCAATGACCAGAATCCGTGGCGCAGTATGGAGTGCTATCCCAACGCGCCATATGTACCGCTGTGGAGAAACAGATATTGCCGCACTGATAGTAGGGAAGTAATTGGCCACCTGAAAAAAAGGGGAAATAAATTTGCAGCCATTTATAAAATTGAGAATATTATTTCATGTGATAGGCAAGATTACCATACATATATTCATATCATAAAAATAATAAATGATAATCCATAGTTTATAGCAGACGAATC